ACAGCAGGTGTGTGGTTTGAGCTCAGTGCACCCAGCATCACCCATATCCTCTTCTGCAAACAGCCAGGACAGTGATGAGGAGCTCCCGCGGTCCCCCACCCACCGGCTTGTGGCCTGTGGGGTCGTGTGATTGGTTGGAGGTTGGAGCACATGACATAAATCTGCACCAATTAGAGCTCGTCTGCTCAGAGTGACTGGGTCAGGCGTGGAGCACCTGATCCTGATATCAGCCAATGAAAACATAGCGCAGCCCAGCTCACGGTCACTGGACCACGTCTCAACCAATCAGAGCCCAACACTGCCCAGCTCGTAGCCACTGGGGTAAAGTGCAAGCTCAAGCACCCGGGAGAAGAATAAAGGGCACAAGCGAAGATTTCATGTAATTGGCTCACATTAAACCACATGACTCAGGCCCAAACCACTCAGAACATCACATTCTTCCAGCCACAGGTGGCCAAAGCCTGAGGGACTCTGGGAACTCATGTCAGAGCTACTAAAAGAAAGGTTCCCTCTTTCCCACTACCCTTGAACTTTGGGAGGTGTGAGGCCAGGGTAACACGACCACCTGGTACCACACGGAAAACAGAGCTGAACAGTGGAAAGCAGAAGGTCGTGGAGGGATCCAGCCCGGCCCAGAGCCAGCACCACACCTATACGTCTCAGCTACTTGAACTCACAAGTGTTTTGATTAAGCCAGTCAGAGCTGGGTTTCCTGTCACTTCTATTGCAGAGAGAGGAGATGGGTGAACATCTCACCTTGAGGAGAAGGGGGTACTTGCAAATCCTCTGAATTGGAGACAGCAGGTAGCCCTCCAGAGGGATGTCTGTGGTCTTCCGGCCTCCCAGAAGCATGCAACTCTGCAAAAGGACATAAGACCTTCATTAAAACTCACCAGGGATGGCAAAGGGATTTGGCCACCTTCAAAGAACCATGGGGAGCCCTCTTAAAACACCGCGACAGACTTTGGAAGCAATTTAGCAACACCCAGGGGAGATGAAAATGAAAATATGCATCTCTTCAAGCCAGCACAAAGCCCAGATCAGGGGCTGGCAATCGACGGCCCGTGGGCCAAATCCTGCCCACTGCCTGTCTTGGTAACCAAGGATTTCCTGCAACAGAGCCACATCTATTTGCTTTCGTGCCATATCTGGTTGCTTCCAAGCCACCACGGCAGAGCTGAGGAGTTGCAACAGAGACCATGCAGTCACAAAACCTGAAATGTTTACTGTCTGGCCTTTTACGGAAAAGTTTGCTAACTCCTGATCTATAGGAACTATCAGAGCTTCAAGACACGCACCAGATGCAGGAGCATGGACGTTCAAAACTGCCTCGAATGGAATAGCAAACAACAGAAAGCGAGGTAAAGAGCCATCAACTGCTCGCGTTTTGTGAGTTCGAGCCCCACACTGGGCTCTGTGCTGACAGGGTACAGCCTGCTCAGATCCTCTGTCCCCCTCTCCTTGCCCCTCCCCAGCTTGCTCTCGCGTGCTCTCTCTCAAAAATAAACAGTAAAAATAATTTAAAATAATTTCCAAAAAAAATAATAAAAATAACCATCAACTGAAGACTGGGAAACTATGCCTATGGTAGACTGACATAATTGCCACACTAAATGGCGGTAAAAACGGGGGACCTGACAGTCGCAGAGGGACACAGATGGACCCCAAACACCAAAGGATGTGCATGGTATGAACCCATCTACAGAAAGCTTTTAAAAACACACAACACAGGGGTGCCCGGTTGGCTCAGTCGGTTAAGCATCTGACTTCAGCTCAGGTCACGATCTCTGGGTTCATGGGTTCGAGCCCCGCATCGGGCTCTCTGCTGTCAGCACAGAGC